CTCTTGCCCGAGTGTAAGAAAGCTCTGGTGGCTGTTCTTGGTCTGTTGACTCCTGTCACGGCATTCAAGTGTGAAGTAGAAGCTTCTGCTTGAGATCCAAACCTTAGTCTAGATACTCACGTTCTGTTTTATTCACTAGAGCCACAGAGAACAGACCTCTCTTGATTGTCATAGCAACTGGGGAATGGGGACGTCAGGAGGGATGAAAATGGAGTAATAAGTAATCTTATGTATTTTTTTAAAAAAGTGTTGGTCCATGCGGCAGGGACTTATATTCTGACCCAAGGAAATGTATTAGGAGAAAAGGGAGGTAGAAAGAAGGCCGGCTGCTACCTTCTCGGTGACGGGCCCAGCCTCTAAATCTGGCGAGTACGTACACCTGCTCCCTGCGATGACACTGCATGGGGACCACAGAAGGGGCCCCCGTCCCTCAGTAACATCCTGCCTTTGGCTGAAACTGGAAGCAGACAGCTGTCTTAGAAAGGGGAGGAAGGATTTCTCTAATTTAATTAATAGATCTGAGCTATTTGCCGTAGTTCTGGGTGTCAGCTGTTATTTCCCCAGGGTTTTCTAAATGAGAGACCGAGAACTCAACGGAAAGTTTCTCTGATTGCTGCCATTGGGTGCTGTTTTGTGACCCCTTTTCCTCAAAGGATAACACCTAAATGTAATGTAACAGCTAGAAATCTAATAAAGTAATTTTTTCCTTCTACCAGCTCTAATGTTTATGAGGTTTTTTAAAAAAAAATCTGTAAATAGGAGCACCTGGGTGGCTCAGTCGGCTAAGCCTCTGACTCTCAATCTCAGCTCAGGTCTTGATCTAAGGGTCGTGAGTTCAAGCCCCGCATGGAGTCTACTTTAAATAAGTAAATAAAAAATCTGTAAACAGTTAGCTTTATGCACTATCCCAAACATTCTTAAAAGTTCATACAATACATACACATTTTGCAGATCTATGTGTACATACTTTTTCGTTTTTTTGGTTTTTTTTTTAATTTCAATCGTTCTTAGTATTCAATTCTGTTAGTATCATTATTTGGCACCAGTGTTCCACGTTTTCTGTTGTTATAAATATCACTCAGTATGTTGTGGGAGCCAAAGGTGGGATATTGTCTAGGACAATTGTCCTAGACAACTGTAGCAGGACTCGGGCCCTGGTCTTTCAGCTCCAGATTGTCTTTCTGTGGTGCTCATGGAATCTCTCCACAGGGTATTTACCGGCATCTAGAAGACTGGTCCTGGTTGCTACAATTCCTCCTGCTAATCGTGGGTATGAGCTGAAATGCTAGCTCAAGGGAGGTGGTTTTTTTTGGTTTGGTTTGGTTTGGTTTTAATCATTGAACCTTGAACTTTGCTTCTGCAGTGCTTCCTCGTTCTCATTCAAAACCGGCTTCCTGCTGAGTCTGCAGATAGTGGACCAGAGACCCAGAGCTTCTGGCCCTACCCATGGAAACTCAGGCTGATTGCGTATCTCAGGAACCTCAGGCCCTGCTTGAGAGTGGTAAGGAATAGAGATTCATTTATTCTTTTATTCAGGCATTCAGCAGTCATGCTGCATGTCTTATTCACCAGGAATCGGGCTAACCACTAGAATCCAGATGTGGCTAAGACACAGTCTTTCCCATTTGGTAGCTTACAGCCCAGTGGAAAAGCTAACTGAAGCCAACAATGAATGTACAGCTTGGTAGCCTTTACAGCTGAGGCATTTGTGAAGGGCCGTTGGGACCTCATGCAGGATTAAGAAAACTGACAATCACAGAATTCCAGGTGCTTGGTCCTACTTTGTGTTCTTTAGGAGCATGCACTTAGGGGAGGCTCTTGGGAAATCACTTTGTAGGTCACAGGCAAAAGGATGAAATGAGCAGAAGCCACTAAGGTATTTGTATTTTGCTGTCATAGACTGTGCCACTGACTTCGGAGGCAATTGCTGTTGAAAGGGTATGCTTATCAGGAAAAAGCATTTAAGGATCTCTTTGTCCCGGTGATTGCACACAGTCTTGTGTCTCTAGGGGTTTAGAATCTCTAAGGGACAAATATGTTAAGAATTACAGAAGAAGAGATGTGATCAAGCCCAGAACCAGGAAACATTTTGTAGTGTTTAGATTTGACCTGGGGTGAAGAGAAAGAAGGAGAATGGGCATTGTGTTGTTCAGTTGGGGTTGGGTGAGGCTGCTGGTTTCCTCTGGTGTAAGAGACCTTTGTGCACGAGTCTTGAGTTCAGAGATGTGGAGAGGGATGGAAGGGGTGAGCAGGAATGTCTGCGTTGCTGGCCAAGGTTGGGAGAAAGGACAAACAAGAAGGTGCTGATCACTAATGGGAGGACTGGGCCGGTTTCTGGGAGAGAGCAGTGACTGAACAGAAAGGAAGGTACCTGGGGCAGATGGAGAGCAGGATCAGCAGGGCTTTGGACACCTCACCTCAAGAGGGCTTGGGTCCTAGGTTCCAGGACCCAGTGAGTTTTCTGTGGGTTGGGAGACCAGAGAGCAGATGGGTTCATTCACGGAGCCTCTTATTGTCCTTCAGCTCTTCCTTCCTCGACAGTTCCTGCATTTTCCGACAAGGACAGCCTAGGGGATGAGATGTTGGCAGCTGCACTCCTAAAGGCCAAGTCCCAGGTGAGCTGTGATTCCCTTTATCCTTCTTCCTTCCCATCTCATGGAAACGTTTATGCCGTGACATCCATTCAGTGCCCCAAACCGTGATTCCCCCCATCAGGAACGTGGTTCTTTCCTGCTGAATAACAGACCCCTCTCTTCCTCTGCCATAACCTCCTTTCCCCCACCTCTTAGATACTCATTGTTCATCCTCATTCCCAGTTATTATTTTTGGTGCTGCTGGTCCCCTCCCTCCCCCTGAAATTGCACGCAAGACCGTGTTGTTTCAGGAGTTGGTAACGTTTGAGGATGTAGCTGTGTACTTCATCCGGAAGGAGTGGAAGCGTTTGGAGCCTGCTCAGAGGGACCTCTACAGGGATGTGATGCTGGAGAATTATGGGAATGTGTTCTCGCTGGGTAAGGAGATAACGCTTTCTCAGTAAAACTCCCTTGGCATTTCTTTGTTTCCTTGTTGGCTAGTGACACTTGAGTCGCAAAATGATCAGCTAAAGATTGACGTAGTCTCAGAAAATTCTAACAATAATAGTAACTCCTGCTTGTACAGTAATTGGCAGTTTATAAAGAGCTTTCCTATACATTCTCTCATGGAAACCTCACAGTAACACAGTAACAGCGGTTGCTGGGGTTCTTCTTGTGTTCTCGGTGACGAAAGAGATGTCAGAGGCCTTCAGTGCTTCACGGTGGTCCTATAGCTATCAAGTAGCAGGACTCGGGCCCTGGTCTTTCAGCTCCAGATCTGCTGCTTTTTTTTCCATGTGATTCGTAATGTGTAATTCAGAGCCTTTTCCAAAAGATGAGCATCTCGGGATCCCTAAACACGTGAGGTACTGCTGGGCGCCCATGTGCGCATTCTGGAACTCCTCCTTCCCTTCTCTGTTGTACCCCCTCGAGGGGTCCATTGCTTTGTTCAGGACTAGAGTGGCTGCGGCTCCTGGAGAAATTTGCAACTGGCGTCTTTAACCTTTACTCTGTGGACGGTTAATCTGTGACTTGTCAGTCACGCAGTCAGTGAGAACATTTTCTGGGCGGTGCAGGGCGTCTCCCTCCCTCCCATTGGAGACTCCCTGCACATTTCCTTGCTGGCCCTGCGAATCCTGGGTGCGGACTCAAGCTCTGGGAGCACTTGCTCTGAGCAGGATAAACCTTGTCCCGTGGGCAGGATTTCCATTTCTGAATTTTGACACAATCTTTGGGCTGCATTGAGACGAAGAGCCGAGGGTCCTGGGTTTGAAGGGAACTGAGAACAGAGAGGTCCTGAGAGGTGCCTGTTCAGGTGAGGGAGAAACAGCTGTTTCTGTTCTCTAACACTCATTCCTGGTCTTTACTTCTTAATATATTGACGGACTAAAAATGCTAACTGTCTAGACCCTTTTCACTCATCCTCTTTGCCCAAAGCTCCCTTTGAAAATCCCAAAGCAGTGGAAATAAGTCAAACAAGAAGATGGTTTATGCATCTTCACACCTTAGCCCAGCCTTCGATGCCTAGGGCCCAGAGGCGGACTGAGCTCCGTCTTTTGCCTGTTTCCGTGGGTTTGGCGTGTGTGGCCTACAGACGTGATTGTTCTTTTCACCTGAGGCTGTGGCGGTCACTGTGGCCTCCCCCTTGTCGCTTCTTCCTGCTCTGCGACTGTTTCCCATCACCCTTCTGGGCTTGCTTATGTTTCTTCTTCCCTATCTTCTGGAAGCCACTGTCTCCCCACTTGCATTTCCAGTCTCTGACCTCTGTGAGGATTTTGTCACTTCATTAAACAGTGTGTCCTTTCTCTTCTGTTTTTGTTTCCACACCCCTGCCTGGTCTGTCTTCCTCTCCTCCCATCTCCAGCCTTCTCTGTACTTCCAGATCTTTTCACTTTGATTTTGCTTCTTGCCTTTCTTCTTCCTTATTTTCTCGATGCAGATTTCTCATTGTGCATCAGCTGCTCCCAGCCTGGGCAGGTCTGCACGCAGATGAGAGGCTTGTGCTTTTAGCCTCGTGAACGTCCTTCTCGTAATTATCCTGTCCTCTGGTTTTGATCCTTTCTTCCACAAGGAACAAGTGATGTTTGTATTTTGTATTGTGCCAGATGGTGAGACCAGAACTGAGCATGATCAAGAAATTTCCGAAGATACCGGTTCACATGGGGTGCTATTGGGAAGATTCCAAAAGGATATTTCTCAGGGTCTTAAATTTGAAGAAGCCTATGAACAAGAAGTCAGTCTCAAGAGGCAACTGGGGAACTCCTCTGGAGAAAGATTGAATAGGAAGATACAAGATTTTGGTCAAGTGACAGATGAGGAAAAGCTAACCCCTGTGGGAGAGAGAAGTGAGAAATACAATGATTTTGGGAACAGCTTCACTGTGAGTTCTAACCTTATTTCGCATCAGAGACTTCCTGTGGGAGACAGACCCCATAAGTGTGATGAATGTAGCAAGAGCTTTAATCGAACTTCAGACCTTATTCAACATCAGAGAATCCACACTGGGGAGAAACCCTATGAATGTAGTGAGTGTGGGAAGGCCTTCAGTCAGAGCTCACATCTTATTCAGCATCAGAGAATCCACACTGGAGAGAAACCTTACGAATGTAACGATTGTGGGAAGACCTTCAGTTGTAGCTCTGCCCTCATTCTACATCGGAGGATCCACACTGGGGAGAAGCCCTATGAATGTAGTGAATGTGGGAAAACCTTCAGCTGGAGCTCCACCCTTACTCATCATCAGAGAATCCACACTGGAGAGAAACCATATGCTTGTAATGAATGTGGGAAGGCCTTCAGCAGGAGCTCCACCCTTATCCATCACCAGAGAATCCACACTGGAGAGAAGCCCTATGAATGTAACGAGTGTGGGAAGGCCTTCAGCCAGAGCTCCCACCTCTATCAGCACCAGAGAATCCACACTGGAGAGAAGCCCTATGAATGTATGGAATGTGGAGGAAAGTTTACTTACAGTTCAGGCCTTATTCAGCATCAAAGAATCCACACGGGGGAGAATCCCTATGAATGTAGTGAGTGTGGGAAGGCCTTTAGGTATAGCTCAGCTCTTGTTCGCCACCAGAGAATTCACACTGGAGAGAAGCCTTTGAATGTAATGGGAATGAGCAAAAGTTCTCTCAGAGTCACTGCTGAATTAAATATCAGAGAGTCTACATGAGAGAGCGCCACACACCTGTTTTCCTCACTTCCTCTGCGTCTAAAGAGTTCCTGCCTTACTATCTAAGTATGAACATCTTAGAATGTGTCCCTTCCGACTCAAACCTTTCACTTTAGAGAACGGGGCAGATCGGGGAAATCATGCTGGCGCATCCTCATGGTGAGCCACCAGGTCAGTTTCCCCAGGAATCACACCAGGAAGCAAGCAGCAGGTTAAGTGCTGGGAATACGAGGGAAGCTCTGGGACCAGTCACCTTCCATTTTGGAAGGGAGTTTGCACTAGACCATTTCTCTCACACCAGAGGAGCCTTTCTTTCCAAGGTGGGGAATGGAAGCACAGTAGGAATAAAATTCCAAGGATTCCTCCGTTGGAGTCAGTATACTCAGCACAGAAGGCAGTGGAAGGAATGTTCTGAGTCCTGCTATTTGCTAAGAAGGGCACATGGAGGCTCTCTTTCAAAGCCCCTGTTCCTAATCCAGCTTTAAATTTTGATAAGGAATGTGCTGTTTGTTGTTGTCGTTGTTCCATGACTTCATTAATTATGGAAATTTGGGGCTGAGGGATTAGTTATTTTATTGGGGGGACCCCACGAGGTTTTCTGTGCTCTCTGTATTTTGGGGGGCTCTTGGAGCTGCAAGCCCGTTTCCAAGAGCAGTGAGGCAGTTTTGTTGGAGAACTTGTCTTTCCCTATTGTGATAGGTCTGATTGGGAAATCCATCCGATAATCGGTAAGGCTCACAGGGAGAGGATCAAAAGCATTTAGCATTGGCCTGCTTCCCGTCCTCCTCTCTCCCTGTTCCTCTCCCCACTCCTGCGTTGCAAAGTGATTTAATCCAAACCCCCAGTTGCTAAGAATAGAATGCTTTTAAGGAGCTTGCTCAGCCAGCTTGCCGTGCCCTCTGACACCTACGACCTATGCCCTCTGGCCCCAGCAGCTGGACCTCTCATGACCTCACCTCTGACTTCAGCAGCCAAGTGTGAATGCAAAGAAAGAGCAAAGCCCAGAGAAGGGAGTCTCTGGCCTGACGCGGCTGCCGGGCTCCTTGCTGGGTTAGGATGGAGCTCGAGTTTTCCCAGCTGAAGGGATGATCTTTCGTTATCTTTTTCCAATCCTGCTCATCCTGTAGCATAAATGAAGTGCACTATTAAACAGAATAGTTTTTTTAGAAGGAGAGATTGAGTGTGTTTTTGTGCAGGAGCCAAATTTATTTCAGTTAAAATAGGAAACCGTGACTATAACTGGAATCCTTAAAATTTAATCTTTTAGATTTTTTTTTTACAGACAACTTTTTCTTTCACACACATATGACCTCTCGCTGTCAAGACTCTGTCGCATTCCTCTAGATACTGCCACAGACTCTCAGTCATGTACACGTTGGATTTCGTGTGCGGCATATCATTCTGTGTGGTACGATACTTAAGACCAGCAACCCAAACTAGAAAGGTGTTCCTGGGTGTAGGGGCCCTGACAAGCGAGTACTTGGGTTTTGGGTCGCAGTGGGCATATATAGATTTCTTGTTTGGGCCCTTGATGGGAGGAGGTTCCAGTCATGGAGAAGGTGGAGATGAAAGTCTTACGGAGAAGATGGGGAAATGTCTGGAACTGGCCTCTGGAAAATCTTAGAGCATATATTGTGATTGACCACCTAATATGTTTTTGATTTCTTAAAGTTATAATGAAACATTCTTTTGGCTCTTCTTTGAGATTCCCCACATACTTACAGACTGACTTTGTGTCTCGAAGTGTAGGCCATGAACAACCCATATTAGAATCACTAGGCTAGGGGCGCCTGGGTGGCTCAGTTGGTTAAGCGACTGCCTTTGGCTCAGGTCATTATCTCAGGGTCCTGGGATCGAGCCCTGCATCGGGCTCCCTGCTCGGCAGGAAGCCTGCTTCTCCCTCTCCCACTCCCCCTGCTTGTGTTCCCTCTCTCGCTGTCTCTCTCTCTCTGTCAAATAAATAAAATCTTAAAAAAAAAAAAAAATCATTAGGCTGCTTGTTAGTAATGCAGATTTCTGAACCCCCAAATCAGACCTATCAAATTATTTCTGAGGTTAGAGCCTAAAAATTTACACTGAAAAGCAAGAACTAGTAACGGAGTAGAGAATATTTCTGGAGGGAGATGAGCAAGGTCTTTTAAACCTCCTCTAAAACACAGAGGAGAAGAGGTTCCAGGCAGGACCGTTTGGGGGTGGGTGAGGCCCGAGCATGGCCACTTACGTGGAGATTCAGGTTGTGGAGCTCTGGGAAAGACAGGTAAAACTGCTAGGTGATGGGGGCGCCTGGGTGGCTCAGTTGGTGAAGCGACTGCCTTCGGCTCAGGTCATGATCCTGGAGTCACAGGATCGAGTCCCGCATCGGGCTCCCTGCTCGGCAGGGAGTCTGCTTCTCCCTCTGACCCTCCTCCCTCTCATGCTCTCTGTATCTCATTCTCTCTGTCTCAAATAAATAAATAAAAAATCTTTAAAACAAAACAAAACAAAACAAACTGCTAGGTGATGAATCGTCGCCACACATGACGGATCAACCACTTCTCTGCCCGCCCGCTGCACTCCCCTCACCCCGCAGAGACCTCATGACTCCCTCCTTCAGAGCATCTCCGTGAGGCCTGGGAATGATCTGGACTGTTGCATGAAAATTATGTTTATTTTTAAGTATCCTTGAAGCTACTATAACATTTTACTCCTCTGGTTTTCCTGATTATTCCTCTTTCCCATTATGATTTCTCTTTTCTCAGTCCCTGAGTATTCCTGAATGTTGGGTCATGATACCGCTTTGTCTCTTTCCTTACCATGACCTTTGAGCCACTTGCTCCTGTGGTCTCAACTCTTACCTGTGCAAATAGGTTTTAAGTCTGCACCTGGGCTACGAGTCTCTCCCGAGTTCGTCTTGGGTCTCTGGCAGACTGCTGGTCATTGGTACTTGGACCTCTAAAAGTTTCAAGTGAACGTGTTTCAAGCCAGATAACATCTTTCCCATAAACTGCCCCCTCTCAAGATTTCTGTAAACTCAGGGTCAGACCGTCAGAGTTTTCTTTGGTTACTCATCCTGCGTCTGACCAGCGTCAAGTCCTAGGCAGGTGAATTCAGTAGGCATGGGGTGGAAAGAGATTATTGGCAGAGGGGAGGGTTTCAGAGTTGAGGTCGTGGGGGAGGTGGGATTTCCAAGTGATGGTAATGATAGTAGCTGACACATGGCATATCCTCCGCCTGGCCCTTTTCCAAGTGGTTTTCAGATGTTAAGTCATGTAATCCTCACAACCGCCTGTGTGTGAGGCGGGCGTTAGTATTAACCTCGTCTTACAGAGGAGGAAACCATTGAACTTGCCAGGTGAGACGTGACCATGGGATCAGAGAAGCACCATGAGGAAGACCCTGGGTTGCTCTACTTGGTGGGAGGCTGGACCCCGTGGCCCAGATGGCTCCCATGTGAGGTGGGGAGGCGTGTGTGAAGAGAATCTCACCCAGGCGATCGTCTTGCCCTGTCCCTTAGGATTCTACGACCTCCGTCGTTCCTCTTTGCTTCTATTGCTGCTAAGCCTAGAGTTCAGGTCCTTATTACTTCTCCTCTCAGTTATATAAATAGTCTCCTCGTGGATTGTTCTCTTTATTTTCTCTCAGTCTCCCCAAAGCACTACAACCCATCTTGTCACTCCTTCAGTGGCTTCTCCCTTCTTAATAAAATTTGAAATCCTTAGTCGTATAGTGAAGGCTTTCCTTGAGCAGGTCTCTGCCTATCTGAACAGCCGTATCTACAACTGCTCCTCTTCACACATCGAAAAACCAGATTTGTGAAAACCAGTGCTGGTCAGTAGTGAGGGTGGTAAAAATATATATTTTATTTAGTACTATTGCAATAGAGGAAAAGAGATCTCTGTATAGACCTTGGCTCATGTCCAAATACAGCTGGTCAAGTGGGGATTTACAGCTGAGGGGCAAGGTAGGGGTCAGTGGATGGAAAATTTCTAAGAGAAAAAAAAACATCAGGGTAAGAAGGATTTTGGTTAAACTGACCTAACAGGATTCTTGAAGAAGGGCCGGGGTGGGTAGATCCCACCCTGGGGTGACGGTGGAGGATGAAGGACTGTTGGTAAACTGACTTCTCAGAGTTCTTGCTAGACCTAGATTTATGAGGAAACGCACAGAAGGGCCTAGGAGAAGGTTCAGGATCCTGAGTTTGGTTTGGTCAAGCAAAGAAGCTTTGTCTCATCAAGTAGCAAGATGATAACAGGGCCCATCCACACCTTACGTTCATGCCCACGAGTTTGTTCACGCACGGTGTTCCCACATCCTGCTGGGGCTACCCACATTCAATCAATAAAAATCAGAGTTCAAGAGGGCCTTAGAAACCATCTTCAACCTCCTGTTCCATGCAGAAGCTCAGCGGTAGCCCTGACAGATGACCATCCATTCTCTCCTGCACTGTCTTCAGGATGAGAGGCTCCTTGCTGCACCAGGTAGAAAGGCAGGCTGTTCCCCTGTTGAACGTTCTCACTGCTAGAGGTTCATCTGAGCTGAATTCTGCCTCCTTAAGTTTCTGCCTCCCATGGTTAGCTTCTGGTTTTGCCTCTCATCTGTGAAATGAGAAGGATGGGCAAGATTTCCAAGGATATTATCTAGCATAAAAGCAGTTTCATTTCCAGTGCCCCTCACCCATTCTGAGTCCTGTCTGTTCTTGAGATCCAGCTCTATTCTGAGAACGCATATTATGTGTAAGTTTCCAAGCAAGGGAAAACCCTGGTTTTACCTGAACACGTCAGCTGAGAGGAGTAGGAACCACGGAGTGGTAGTGGAGAAGAAAATCTTAATATTTAAAAAAAATAAATTGTTTATGGAGCTTAAATTTTTTAATCTCCTTCAAAAAAAAAAAAAAAAAAAAAGGAAAGCCCAGTCAGGTGTATTATTTTAAATATGCCAGTAATGAAGAACTGAAGATTTTAAAATGAATAAAAAATTACATGGACTAGAGGCACCTGGCTGGCTCAGTTGGTAGAGCATGCAACTCTTCATCTCGGGGTCATAGGTTCAAGCCCCACCCTGGGTGTAGAGCTTACTTAAAAAAAAAAAATTACATGGACTATTTTTTACATAAATATGGTCACCAGAGTGGTTTCTTCTCCACAAGCATATTTTTCTTTGTATATTTCCTACTTTGGTTGCTGACATCATCCACTTCCCAGTCAACCAAGCCAGAAACCTGGGAATTGTTCTGGATGCGTTGTTTCTCTGCATCTACCCGACCCCCCACCTCCACTTGTCAGGCATCTCCAGCGCATCCCGCGTTGCACACCCTTGACTCCCACGTTGGCCTGGGCTGTCCTTACTTAGTTCGTTCTAGGACTCTGGCCCCAGCCTTCCAGAAGTCTCTTTGCTTCCAAAGCCTTGCTCCTCAATCCATTCTTCATACCTCTGCATGAGCTCTCCCTCTAAAATGCCAAGCATATGACACCGTCACCGAGACCTTCCAGTGGCCCCTCTCATTCCTTAGGCCAGTAACCAAACTCTTTATGGAGAAGCAGGCTTCTCATTTCCTAGTCCTGCCTCCTTCCTCGCCCTGCCTCCTAAGCACACTTGTTTGTTTGTTTGTTCGTTTTAAAGATCGTATTTATTTGACAGAGTACAAGCAGGGGGAGTGGCAGGCAGAGGGAGGAGGAGAAGCAGGCTCTCTGCTGAGCAGGGAGCCGGATGCGGGGCTCGATCCCGGGACTCCAGGATCATGACCTGAGCAGAAGGCAGATGCTTAACTGGCTGAGCTACCCAGGCGCCCCTCCTAGCACACTTCTTACACCAAGTCCCTCCCCCACCTCCCCCCACATACTTGACCCTGGAGCCATGCAAAACCACGGTTAGGGTTACGGGGACACACATGCTGTTTCATGCCTCTGTACCTTTGCATATGCTCTTCCTGCTTCCTGAACGCCCTCCCCACCTCGTCCACCTGACAAAATCCTGTTCACCTTTGCCAACCTCCTCGTGAGCGTCACCTTTTCTGTGGAACCTTGCCAGGAATCGTGCCCGTGCCCTTCCTGCAAGCTACCTCTGCGTCTTGTGTGTCCTGTCCTTGTGCTTACTCATTTGTTCATATATCGGACTCCCTCACTGAGGTGAGTTTTCCCCTACATTTTCACACTTTTCTACCACAAACAAGAATTGCGTTCTTAATCAGAAA